TGTGAAAAGCAAAGATACTGCAACCGGTTGGGGATTCCTAGCAAACAGGACACAGAATCTGGTCACAAGGCTTTACTTGCAGGCACAGAGTACGTACAAAAGACGACAACTGCCTACACGAGTTATCATAATCTATATATCGACATAATAATAAACTCGTTCCAACGCTGACTGGTCTTTTATACGCCTGCGGATTTTTTGTTCATCCTCGGCAACCATTCCGCGTTGACCTGCTGATTGTACTTTCGCTGTAAGGTGTGCTTTTGATTGCGACGTGCGGAGGGCGAGTGCTCTTTCCTTTGCTCGAACCAGTTTCCAGTCTTTTGTGAGAGGCGAGAGCTTGACCTTTCGTTTGCTTCACATCTAAGGTGCCTACGGGGGGGGGTTTGCATCCAATTGCCTCTGCTTCGTTACAGTTAGTCGTCGCTGACCGTTGCAACAAAATGATGCACTCTGGAGAACTGAACATCTGCAACGGCAGAATCGGAGCTAGCAATTTTTCGCGGCAGGCACAGATGGACGTTCAAGCAGCATTGAACCAACTTACCACCCCGGTACAGAAAAATTCCTCCCGGATTTGAAAAAGAACCGTCACTGTCTGGAGAATGGGGAGCAAGACTTGAGAAAGACTATGAACAGAAGCACGGTGCTTTGCCACCCAGACAGAGAACAGCCTGGACTGTTGGATCAGCCTGAAGAATGTTCATTCAGTATTGTTTTGCACGAAGCTTCACAGCGTGGAGAAATCGTATTGCATTACCAAATGAAATTTTACTTACCCGATTATCTGGATTACGGAACTGGAAGAAACGTGTGCAAAAGACATGACGGACACGACTAAGCTGACCATGGGAAAGAGAAAAGGCAACCTAACGCAACTTTGAGGAGAACTCCATATTCTTTATGATCCTTATTCAGATATTGAGAAAATATTTCAGTTCCTTCAGGCTTTAAGCTTTCAGCCTCAAGCCTGACCTGACCTGGCTCACAGTCGGAAACTCGATGCATATTTTCTAAGTCTAGACTAGGATATGCTTTTGCGAAAAGACCAAAATCAAAAAGTCAACAGACTTATTTAAAAAAAACTTCTCTTCTGTAAAGAGGCACAATGTCAGAAAGACTGCTGTTATTCTAGATGGAAACAGTCTTTGCAGACGGACTATTTTTTACACAAGTACTGTAGACAACTCCTTCCGCTTTTTGACCAATCAAGCAACCACTTGAACG